AACGTAAAAATGAAGAATACAAAGAACGGCCAACCAAAAATCTTCCCCTAAAAAGAAAACTTTTTTTAAAATTTATTTTTCAATTTTCTTCTCCACCTTTTCTGTTTTTTTTTTTTTTTTTTTTAATTCCAAAAGAATATCTGTTTCCAAAAAAAAAAATTGGGGTTGTAGGGATTAATAATCCCTACAACCCCTTTTTTTTTTCTTTTTTTTTTACTTATTATTTTAATCAGGAAAAATATGGTTAAATTGTGTCCGCGGGGCAGATGAGGTCGGCAGCGGACGTGGCCATTTATGCGTCCGCCATCCGAGATCGACCCCGCGGACGCGTCCGCGGGTGTTTCATAGCACAAGAATATCCCACATAAGAGCATGAAAATACTTCCTCCTTTGAATACAGTCTTCTTCTCGAGGCATGCCGAAGTCCAAGCAAGCTCTCCCACTCATAGAGTTGTCGAAGCCCTCCGAGGGCTGCTGTGCGATCTCCCACTGGCCGCAGCAACGCCGCTGTCCATAGCTCTTCATCATGTTTACACTTTTGGTAGTAGGGATAATCGGTAGAAAGCGCCCACGCCAAAACCTTTTCGGTTTTGGGCGCCCAAAACTTGGCCGTTTGGTACTACCGGCCCCATGACTTCGATGTGGGGTACTACAGGCCCGCTCATCGCTCCAAGGGCCTTACCGGATCATGAATCTGGTGCATAACAGCGCTAGATTCATTTTGATGTAAAAGAGGCCGAGGGTGGTACCTCTAAAGTATAGAATGAGGCCCACATACAGTAGGCCTGCGGGCCTAGCTCAGTTGGTAAGGCACAGAAGTTGCATTGAGGAGGTCGTGGGTTCAATCCCCATTGGCCTCACGTACGTGCCTGGGCAAGCTTGGTGTTCTACCGGCTAGAGATAACATGTTAACCCCCCAAGCCAGCATTGGCAGGACCTTGGTTGATGTTGTTGGTTGCTATGCAGCAACAATATTGGCCATTAGACACCGCCATGTGGGGTTTGGGGGGGGTAAGGGGGAGGTGCAGTGACTGGCCATTGCTCGGCGCTAGCACCGCCGATTTCCCCCATCGACAATGCCTGCCCACCCCTCGTGACCGTGATGAGGGACTGGTACAGCCTTGCTCTCGCACCACTGCTGTGGTGCCAACCTACCCCGTGGGCTGGCTGGGGAGAGATCTGGGTTGGTTGGTGTTCCCCCGTACTACACATACACTAGTGAGAGGATGAGATAGATGAGTACTAGCAAGAAAAATGAGATAGATGAGAGAAGGGCCCTGCCGGTTCATGAATCTGGTGCAAAAAGATTAAAAAAAAGAAAGAAGGGCCCTACCGGTTCATGAATCTGGTGCAAAAAAAAAGCCAAATTCTTGAACTGGTAAAAACAGGCCCAGGGAGACGTGGCCACTGCGAAGGCGCCTTTCACCCAGGCTGAAGACGTTTGGGCCGGTAGTACCAAACGGATTGAACAGAAGATAAGGCCAGATGTTTTTTTGTTAATTTGGCCAGATATGATGTAGGATGTATTCAGCCCAAAGTAACGCCCAATACAGATTAGTTGATATATTTTGAATGGTTGGAGCGGTTGGGTACGGGGCTGCGGGGATGCCCAAAAGTAAGAGCACAGAGGCGCTCCCTAGCCCACTCAAGAGCTAGGTTACGCTTAAACACTTTCAACCATAGCTCTCACACAGCTATGGTGCCCGCCAGGGTAAAGGTCTCTTTAAGGGATAAACTTCTAGTGATAAACTTCTACGGATAACTTCTAGGGTTAGACGCTGCGCTCCACTGGACCGCGAACCCCGAATAGGTTTTGGCGTGGGCTCTTTCTACCAATTATCCCCTTAGCGAAGATTGGCATGCGAAAAAGTAAATAGAAAAGGAAATCTAAAGAGGATTGGCATGTAGTGGCAAGTGCAAAGCGTCGACAGCTGTAGACACGAAGCAACCAAGCCCCATGCCTCTCCACTAAGTGCACCAGCCAGAAAAAAGAAAAAGGTCCTGGAGGCCAGAGCGAGTCGTCATGCCATGTCACATATTACACACCATTAGACTGTTTCGTCCTAAACCAGAAGATCACACTGTGAGAGAAGAAGAAGAAGAAGAAGAAGAAGAAGAAGAATTAGAGCGGAAACGGAGAGGAAGAAGAAGAGTAGAGGAGGCAGCATGATCACGCAGAAATATCAGGCACATTCGGCGTCGTTCGACACTCCTCGGCGCGTCCTCGGGCTCCGAGGACGAATCCTCAGAGTTTTTATTTTTATTTTTGGAGGTGTCGTTCCACCTGCCCTCGGAGACTCGCCCCGAGGACGAATCCTCGGGGCCCTCCCACGGCCAGTTTCATTATATTATACACGACCGCAAGGGGATTGTCCAAGCTCCGATTCGGGATGTCCGTGTAGGAGGCGTGGTGGTCCAGCAGGCGAACGACGACAATACGTCACGGGCCATGAAAAAGAAAATCGCCAACGCGGGAACGGCCCTGTTCGGAATTCGAAATTCGAATTCGACGGTGTGGCGACGCACAGGCGGGTAGGCGAGGGGGGCAGTGCACGCCTCGCAGGGTTTCGGTTGCCATCGAGTTGCGTACTTTAGCGGCGCCGCACTGCCACTGTCTCAAGTGTGGTCGACGCGGCGAAACGAAGAGGGGTATTGGCAGTTGGGCTCGCCACGTGGAGGCGCGCGGCGGTTCCGTACTTCAGCGGTGGTGGGCGGACGCTCCAATCGGGGTGAAACATCATTGAGCACGGTTGTCTTCCTGACCTGATTGCAGGCGTCTTCAATCCTGGTGGCAGACGTAGACGCAGCTGAGTGGCGGTGGACGTTGTTTTTCATGTTGGAAGGGCGGAATGGAGGGCTGCGATGGGGATGATCGTGCTGTGTTGTCGAGGACGGAGAAGACAGCTGTCGCGGCGGCTGCGGTTGCCGTTGTCCGTCGATTCGAAGTCGAGAGGGCGGCCGGGCGCATGAAGGCAACACTTTCGAGGTGGCGGCAGAGGCTTCTGCTGCAGAGGGTGTTGGACGCCCGGATTGCATTACCACTTCGGAGGCCGTGGTTCAGCTGTGCGCTGCAATCCGGTGCGGTGTGCTTCCTCGGGATACGCCACGTTGGTGGATGAGGCAGAGAGCTGGCGGGACTTGGGAGGATTTGCGGGTGTGCGATGATGCGACAGACGACTACTTTCGGGAAAAGCTTCGCATGTCCATGAAAGTGTTCATGGAGATCACCGAAGCCTGTGCGGCTCAATTGCAACGACAGGTGACGTTTTACAGGGAGCAACTTCAGCCGGAGCAGATCGTCGTGTACGCGCATTACAGGTGGGCGACAGGAGAGTTGTACGACAACAGCACATCATCCTTTGGCATGAGCAGGGCTTCCGGAGTCCGAGCCGTGCGCGATGTGACAATCGCTATATTGAGGGTGTACGGGGACAAGATATCGTGGCTGACGGGGGTGAGGAAACACGTCGTGCTACGGGCGTTTCTGGACAAGGGCTTTCCGAACTGCCATGGCGCAGTTGACGGCACACACATCTACGTGGACAAACCGGCGAGCGCGCCGAGCGAGAACTACTTCGACCGCAAGCACCGTTTCTCCGTCATTGTGCAGGTGGTGGTGGACCTGGATCTGCGTGTGCTTGACGTGTTCATTGGATATCCGGGGAGCTGCCACGACATTAGGGTGATCCAGTTGTCAAGTCTGTCCAGGCGCGCGGAAGAGGGAATGGTGTTTCGTGGGCCGCCTGTCACGCTGCTGGAAGGGGTGAGGACGAACGGATACATCTTGGGCGACAACGGGTATCCTCCTTCTGAATGGGTGGTGGTTCCATATGGAGGCATCAATCAGCATCTAGATGAGGAAAGGTTCGACACGAAGCAGAAGGTCACAAGAGGGGCTGTGGAGAGGGCGTTCGGGAGGTTGAAGGGGATGTGGAGGCTCTTCCTGCGGGCGGACAGGAAAAACCTCGACACTCTACTGCAACAGTTCACGGTTGTCTGCATTCTCCACAACATCCTGCTCGACGCCGGTATCGAGTTCGACGAGAATCTATTGTGGGAGGTCGACAAGAACGGGGTGAGGCGCTGACAGGACCTGGGGATTCATCATCCCCCACATCCAGTGACGATGTTGACTTTGACGCACGCGGCACACGCGCTCCGTAACGCACTGGCAGAGTGAATGAAACACATGTGATCCTGCCTACCGCCTGCCTATTTCTCTCGTAGAAGACTTCTTCGTTGAAGTCGTGTTCCGCCGTCGTCGATTCACAGCGCTAACGTCTTTCGCTTACGCGCGCAATTGCTTCGGAGGGTTTGCCATCGTGAACGGGTTGTTTTTAGGTGTTTGTTGTTGTAGTCGACGGTAGACTGCTTGTCCAGTTCGTCGATCATTGGCAGTGACGCGACTTCATTGTTGTTGTAGTCGCCGCAACGGTGGTGTGGTTGTTGTTTCGGTCTTCCTTGTTGCTGTGGTGGGCGAAATGGTGTTCCCGCGGGATTCCGTGCATTCGGGGACGGGAAATCAGTTTGGTGGGGGGGGGCAGGGTTGGGGCTGGGCTGGGGGGGAGGGGGGAGGTGAGGGGCGGCACGAAGCACATTGTCAGCCCGCTGTTTCGCATGCGCTTTACAACGCTGTTTGTCTTCAAATTCAACGATATGTGTTTTTTATGATGTTTGTGTAAGGACGTCTTCGTGCGTCCGACTGCTATCTTTTTTTCGAGAACAAATGTTTTTATCGAGTACATGAAACGTTTGTCATGCATGTCGTCTGCACTTCTCTGCGTTTGCTAAAGTCAGTCGGTGAACCTTCGTTGTTCCACTAACGACTTATATGCAGTAAAAAAAAAAAATGAAAGAAAAACTCACGACAGATTGGTTATTTCGGCAACTGCAAGGTGACCTTCCTTTGATTTTTTTTTTTTTTTTTTTTGGCTTTCGTCCGGTGTCGGCGATCATCACGATTTAGCGTTGTCATTATGAACGAAAAGATGGCCACCAAACATAAAAAGATGACAATAAAAGTGCATGGATAGGTTCCTTCCTGTTTTCATTGTTTTCTTTTGTTTTCTCAGGTGCCGGCGATGATAACGATGGCGCGATTCCTAAGATCGAATGAAGGGCCGCATACATAAGAAGATGTGGACGAGAATGCGATGGCCACTAATGCATGCGTCACATGATAAACCCACATAGAAGACAAGAAAAACAGTATTGCATGAGCAATCGTAAGCATGCAAACACACGCCGTCGACACAGAAACATAAATGTGAGGAAATTCATTCAACAACATTATAACACAACAATGTTCAGGCAGCGATCCACTTTTCTCCTAACTATCCACCCTCCAAACGGCCCACACAAAAGACGGAGGTGTCGTCCAATGAGCTAAGATACCCTTTTGTGGACCACAACTGTAAAGTGTGCTCCAATCACAAAAAAAGAAAAGAAGAAGAAGAAAAAAAAAACGTTCACAACACATCAACTTCGACGCCATCTGCTGATGTCGTCACGCCGTTGGACCGCGCACCTTCCGCCCGCTCAACCACCAACACCCGCCAACACCCATCCCGCCCGTGCACTAACATCTAAAGTTGAAGGCGCATAGTTCGTCGTTTCATGATCCCACGCGCCAATCCGTCGACGATCCGCACCCCGCAGCTGCCTTATGGATGAACCCACATGTCAATTGCCCTCATCTCCATCGTCGTCCGCCGCAAACTAGCTGCCGATCCAGCCATGTTTTGCGGCTTCCACTGCATTCTTCAGGGCCGCGTTGTGCCCGAACACCAACCCGCAATCAGACCATTCCGTAATGCAATGCGAGTAATCTCCCAGCGTCAGGTGGGCCTTCCCTAGACGATCCAAGACGAGGTTGGCCGTGTCGACGATGTGTTGCCGCCAGTTGAAGATGTAGGACCCCGCCACTATCATTGTGGGTTTGGCGACCATGGACGCGTAGAACCACGCCTCAAAGTGCGAACGGTCGTCGTCACCACCCATGCCCATGATCCACATCCATGCGCTCAACAACGCTCGAAGACAATCCGCAAGCTGCGACAACCTCTCTTGTTTCGTCCGCCCATTGTCCGCACCAGACTGCATATGTCCAGCAGTCCGCCAGGCGAAGAACTGTCGCCTCCTGCCGCGCCGCCATGTCATCATCTTCCGGCCGGTCCACAATCTTCACCCCCGCGAACCATAGAGGCACGTCCATCTTCATCGCCAACGTGTGGTAGACGAGGGCAGGGGAAACCACTTTGGACCATTTAAATCCCTGCCAAACTGCTTGTGCGACGTCCGTGGCGAAGTCGACGGTGATGTACGACTCTGCACGAGCGAAGCCAATCGACCTCGACGACGATTTGAAGATGCAACCGTGGACGGTGCGCAGCACCAGTTTCTCCACGCTGCGCGCTCTGCACAGAGCTGGTTCACGCTGCCCAGGGTCCTCGATCTTGAAGCGTGGCACATCATTCCGCGACATTATGGGCATCAAAGACGGTTCAGCTCCTGCATCTCCATTGGCGATGGCGACGAAGTAATCCGCGCAGTCGCCTACCGCCTCCCTCAAGGGTTTTCCCGCGCCTTGACCCCAGAAAGCGTCGCAATCAACCCACAACTTCGACCACTCTTCGAGACTATCCTCCTTTGTCGCTTCCTTCAACCTCGTAACAAGTGGACGGTCGTCGTCGTCATCGCCCTCCCGCTTTCCATCTCTTCCCCCATCGTCGCGGCGGACTCTGTCGACCCTCCCCTCTTCCGCACTTTCGGCGAGTCCGGTTCTAGTACTGTGATCTGTCGCTCGCCGTCGCCTCGCCCTTTTGCGCAGACGGTGTTTTCCCTCCCCCTGAAGCCCCCGCCTGTTGTAGGGGGAGTAGCTGACGTGGATAAAACTGGCCTACCACCGCCGGAAGTTGACACGGAACGAGCGCCTCCATGATGACAACCCCTGCCACCTTCGGGGTCCTTGGCAACGCCCCAGCAGCACCAACGATAACGCAATGTTTGATAGCGGACAACTGTTCCCTTGAAACCCCATCCCGCCCAAAACCCAATCGCATCGCCCCTGCCGTCCCTTGCGCATCCACCATCAACACTTTGTCTACCTAAAACTCGTTTGTGTGTTCGGAGCTCGCCTCGTCAACGCGCTGCCTTTTCGACTTTGGCACGTGGCCTCTGCCTTTTTGGGTTCCCTCCCCCTCCCCTACTCCGCCATCTTTCCTGCCCTTCCCTCACGTGCTCCTCGGGGCCATCTCGTCCACAACTTGGAGACAAGGAACACGTGAACGGAGGAGGATGTGGATTAAGGAGCACATGGACCAAGGCCGCGTGGAGGTCGACGACGGGCACGTGGACGAAGGAGCACGTCGATGATGCGCAGGAACGGGCACTGGCCATGGGGGCGCGACAACGATGGCGAGCGAAAAAGAGCACGTGGATGAGGGAGGACGTCGAAGAAGGAGCATGTGGACGAAGGACCATGTCGACGAAGGAGCACGTGGATGATGCGCCTAAAGGGGCACTGGCCGCGAAGCCGTTTCTCCGATGATGGCGGCCACAAAGGAGCACGTGCTCAATGTGCATGAAGGGGCACTGCCCGCGGAGACGGAAGCGGAAGCGTGGAGCGCGAAAGCGGATGTGTAGGCGTGCGACGACGACTCAGTGTGCAGACGGTACCGTTGGAGCCGTGGGAATTCAATCACTGCGGTACGGAATGGCGTCGGGACTCTCCTTTTGTACATAGCGCGCTCTCGCAGTTCACCATGGACACGCCTCGCCGTCCACAACAGCCCGCCCCTTCGCCGATCGTGCACGGACCATTTTCCCCGCCTCATGGTGGTGATCCCTCGCATGGCCAACAGCGCATGTGGGCGCGCAGGAGGACCCTGGGGGAGGTCGAAAGAGCCCGCCACCCCCAAAAACTCGAGGCACCCCTGTTCGCCATTTTCCCCTCCCGCCCGAAAAACACACCCTGCCACCTATTCCTTCTCCGACACCCCCAAAGAAGACCCTGGCAGATCGACATCCATGGGTGGCGGCAACGCCTCACAACACCAGCCGTTAAACAAAATACAAAATCGGAGGACCTACTGTACAACCGAAGGCTGCGACAACCTCTCCTGTTTCACGCGCCCGCCGTCCGCCCATTGTCCGCACCAGACTGCATCTGTCCAGCAGTCCGCCAGGCGAAGAACTGTCGCCTCCTGCCACGCCGCCATGTCGTAGTCTTTCGGCCGGTCCACAATCTTCACCCCCGCAAACCACAGAGGCACGTCCATCTCTTCATCGCCAACATGTGGTAGATGAGGGCAGGGGAAACCACTTTGGAGCATTCAAATCCCTGCCAAACTGCTCGTGCGACGTTCGTAGCGAAGTCGACGGTGATGCACGAGCGAAGCCAATCGACCTCGACGACGATTTGAAGAACCAGCCGTGGACAATGCGCAGCACCAGTTTCCCCACGCTGCACGCTCTGCGCAGAGCTGGTTCACACTGCGCAGGGTCCTCGATCTTGAAGCGCGGCACATCATTCGGCGGTATTATGAGCATCGAAGGCGGTTCAGCTCCTGCATCTCCATCGGCGATGGCGACGAAGTAGTCCGCGCAATCGCCTACCGCCTCCCTCAAGGGTTTTCTTGGGCCTTGACGCCAAAAAGTGTCGCAATCAACCCACAACTTCGACCTCTCTTCGAGATCATCCTCCTTTTCCGCTCCCTTCAACCTCGTAACAAGTGGATGGTCATCGTTGTCATCGCCCTCCCGCTTTCCATCTCTTCTCCCATCGTCGCGGCGGACGTCGTCGATCCTCCCCTCTTCCGCACCTTCGGCGAGTCTGCTTCTAGTACTGTGATCCGCCGCCGCCTTCCGACTGCCGCTCGCCGTCGCCTTCCGACTGCCGCTCGCCGTCGCCTCACCCTTTTGCGCGGACGGTGTTTTCCCTCCCCCTGAAGCCCCCGTCTGTTGCAGGGGGAGTGGCTGACGTGGCTGAGCCTGGCCTTCTACCGCCGGAAGTTGCCTCGGCACGAGCGCCTCCGTGATGACAACCCCTGCCACCTTCGGGGTCCTTGGCAACGCCCCAGCAGCACCAACGATGACGCTCTGTTTGATAGCGGACAACTGTTCCCTCGAAACCCCATCCCGCCCAAAACCCAATCGCATCGCCCCTGTCGTCCCTTGCGCATCCACCATCAGCACTTTGTCTACCTAAAACTCGTATGTGTGTTTGGAGCTCACCTCGTCAACGCGCTGCCTTTTCCACTTTGGCACATGGCCTCTGCCTTTTTGGGTTCCCCCCCCTTCCCCTACTCCGCCATCTTTCTTGCCCTTCCCTCACGCGCTCCTCGGGGCCATCTCGTCCACAACTCGGAAACAAGGAACACGTGAACGAAGGAGCACGTGGATGGAGCACATGGACGAAGGCCGCGTGGAGGTCGACAACGGGCACGTGGAGAAAGGAGCACGTCGATGATGCGCATCAACGGGCACTAGCCGTGGGGCCGCAACAACGATGGCGACTGAAAAAGAGCACGTGGACGAGGGAGGATGTCGAAGAAGGAGCACATGGACGAAGGACCACGTCGACGAAGGAGCACGTGGATGATGTGCCTGAAGGGGCACCAGCCGCGGAGCCGTTTCTCCGATGATGGCGGCCACAAAGGAGCACGTGCTCGGTGCGCATGAAGGGGCACTGCCCGCGGAGCCGGAAGTGGAAGCGTGGAGCGGCGAAGCGGATGTGCAGGCGTGCGACGACGACTCAGTGCTCAGACGGTACCGTTGGAGCCGTGGGAATTCAATCATTGCGGTATGGAATGGCGCCCGGACTCTCCTTTTGTACATAGCGCGCTCTCGCAGTACACCATGGACACGGCTCGCCGTCCACAACAGCCCGCCCCTTCGCCAATTGTGCACTGACCATTTTCCCCGCCACATGCTGGTGATCCCTCGCGTGGCCAACAACGCATGTTGGCGCGCAGGAGGACCCTGGGGGAGGTCGAAAGAGCCCGCCACCCCCAAAAACTCGAGGCACCCCTGTTCGCCATTTCCCCTCCCGCCCGAAAAACACACTCTGGCACCCATTCCTTCTCCGACACCCCCAAAGAAGACCCTGGCAGATCGACATCCATGCGTGGCGGCAACGCCTCACAACACCAGCCGGTAAACAAAATACAAAATCGGAGGACCTACTGTACAACCGAAGGACGCGCCGCAGGGCATGACAGCAATGAATACCCTTCACAGACATCAAACAAGTCCACGCTTAAATAAATTGTGCGGGCAAAAACGACCCGCCGTCTCTACGCCACCTGCCCATCACCGCACTGCAGCACGGAGGACGACGGCAACGGCGATGCTCTAGAACTGCACACGTGGCATTCACGTGGACGTTGGACATGTGTGGCTGAGAGACATTAGGATCGCTCGCGGATCGCCTTAGCAATCTCCAGAAGGGCGTTGCACATCATGAAGTTCGCCTGGTCGGCCTTCACGGAGTGCTCCCTCTGCACTTCCAGCTCTCACTCGAGAATGTCGCATTGCCTCGTCAGAATTGAGCACGGCCTCTTGCTCGCGCTGTCCACCGTCGTCGCCATCAGATTCCTGTACTCCTTCATGACGTCGGCAATTGTGTCGAAGGTCTGTTGTCTTACATTCTTCTGTTTGCCACCCCTGCCACCGCCACCGCCGCTGAACATTGAATCCCTCATCGATCCCTGATCGTCGTCCAGTCCATCCCCGCATCCCTCGTTACCACCATATTCATTCCGACCTCCACGTGGGTCGGCCATTTGAACACCTCCAGCCACACCCGTGTCCGCGAGAGTCGTGGGGTGTATAGTGTGATCGCCCCTGGACATGGCCGTCATCTCCGAATACACACGCTCATCCATCTGAAAGTCGAACCCCCGCTCCTTCCTCTCCCCCGGTGTTAATGTGAAGAAATTAGGCTTCCCCGATTCTCCCATGAACTTGAGCACGGTTTTGAACTGCTGGTACAGGTTGTCCCATTTTTTCCCGCAGTCCACGGCCTTTCTACTCGTCACCCCCATTTGCACGAGCCTCTTCTCGACGTCGTCCCACTTCCATGTCTTCGTCTTCATCCTTCCGCTGTTGTGCCCCAGGCCGGCCAGATGCAAATCCTGGTCTCTTTTAGGTCGGATCAAAGCAATCATGTGCTTCACGGTCCAAAAATCCCTGCTTTTTGCTCCCTCACCTGCCGATGTATCTTCCACACCCTTCTTGCCTCTCCTCCCCGCGCGCGGTTCTGTAAACTTGTTTGTGGCCCTTGACCCTCCCCGCTTCCTCCCTACTAGACGAATCTCCATCTCCCCGTTGTCGTCCTCGTCGTTGTCATTGGCCCCATCGTCTGTCGCGCAATCTTTTGCCCCTGCACCATTGCAATCGCCGAATTTATCGCCCGCCCGCACATTAATCTTCGCTACCCCTCTCGTTATGCCGGACGTGCTCGCTTGACGTGATTGTCGCCGATGATCATCCCAAACCTTTCATCCCACGACCTCCGCAGCGGAGCACTCATCGTCGTCCCCTCGTCCGTCGATTGTGCCGCCTGGCGTAGTCGATCCACAGGGAGCCAATCCACCTGTCCTCGTCCTCGACGCGGCCACACCTGCTGTGCCGACTGCCCCCCCGCCTTGGCGGAAAGAGTTCGTCGCCCGACTGACCAGAACACCAGGCGCGGTTATCCGGAAGGCCAGACGCCCTCACCGAAGGCGGTGTGTGGTTGGTGCCAAAAGTTGGGTTCACGAGAACGGTGTGCGTCACGTCCTCAGCACTACCAGACCTCAAACCGAAGCTGAGATCTACGAGTCCTGCGTCATAACCAACCGGGGTCCGCCCCTCCAGCAGATCAGTGTATGTCGGCGTCGATGCCTGTCTACACAACTGGCTCCCCATCCAATCCTGCGTCGAACCGCTGCCCAGAGGAACCATTGAGGATCGGGGGTCGTCGCCCTCGTCGTCACTCGGAGGCAAGTGAATCTCGTGGGACGGCAGGTGGCTGTACAGCGTTGGGTCGTATGGCCGCCTGCCGCCTTCCGTACTGCTGCAACGCTGACGTGACGACCCCTTAGCGTGGTCTTCGTCTGTACCTTCTCCATCTTCCTGCCCCTCTTCGGCGTTCGCTGCGTCTGTTTCCTCCCAGCCTCCCAGGGACGCGACCGAGGAAGCAGATATGAAAGACGAGAACGGCAAGCAGCAGCACAGCGACAAGCAGCAGCAAAGGGAGCCTGCGGTACAGGTCAGCCATAAATGACAGGGCAGCCGAGACAGAACACGCACTTGCGCTGTCGCAATCGCGGCGACCAGAGACACACGTTGCGAGAGGGAAGACACCAACGTACGAAATTGCTGCAAGCACCGGCTGGAGGAGCACGCTTACAAAATCCGTATTTTCGGCCATTGGGAAGCCCGCGGGAAAGCCAAGACCCCTCCAGGATCCGCCCGAAGACGTCCGATGCTCGCCACGGCACCACCGTGGGTCCGCCCGACGAACCGACAGGGCCGTACCGCCAATCACCGCCAACGGTAAAACGACGAGGCCATTGGTGGACGTTTTGGACGAGGACGGCCCGCGATGTCCGTCTTCCGGCCGGTGGACCACCACTGGACCACCTTTGACCTCCATTTTCCCTTCTGGACTTGCCGCCAACACCCCGATACTCGCGGATCCTCGGGCTCCAAAGGGCGTCGCGAGGTCCCTTGGAGCCGACGACGATTTGGCTGGGAAATCCTCGGACCCCAAGGATTTGTCCTCGGAGTGTTTTCACATTTCTGTTCCGAAAATCGCCTCCGAGGACAGGTGGAACGACGATGGAATCCTCAGAATCGCATCCCCGAGGAGTGTCGAACGACGCCCATTGGATCAGTACCTCTGGGCCTCAGCCCTCCTCCGTGCAAGCACGAATTGGAGCCGGCGACCTCGGCCTCAAGAGCCAAGTATCGTAACCACTACAGCCAGGACACGGTCTGTCTCTTATACACATCTAGATGTGTATAAGAGACAGACGTAAGGATGATGACATGCATAAATCGAGGAGGAGTCCTACTGTGAGTACGCCCTGAGAATTTCCCAGGTAGTGCAAGATGGTGGGTGCGAGCATTGCACAAAGTCGCAGACATCATTTGAAGTGTCCACGACCATCAAGCAGGCCTGCTCACGAGGACGTCAGCCAAACGGCGGGCCAGTCTGAGATCCCATTGGCAAAGAGGATTAGAATAAAGGTGTCTGAATCTGGACGTGTTGCACTCAGAGATGTGGAAAAGCAGATCACTCACAATCTTTTGCACCTCTCCACAAACACGTCCAGATTCAGACACTTATTCCAATAGTCTTCGCCAGTGGGATCTCCCCCTAACAGTCGGAAAACACATACATAACCTACACCACATGCATCGACAAAAAAAAAAAAGAAAAAAAAACACTGGCATGATTTTTTTTATTTTTTATTTTTTTTGGGAAAATTTTCGAAATGCCCCTCCGAAATCCATTTATTTGCGGCATGCCCCTCCGACGCCCGACTTACCCTGTTGTGCCCCTGGGCCCTCTGAAGCTTCCCGCAGGCCCCCGCCAGCGAGGGGCACAACTTTCGGGGACACCCTTACCGGACTGCTGGTCCCATTTCTGTGTTGGCTGTCTGCTATGCCCTCCTCCCAGGGATGCATCTTTGTGAGATGCCCTTCTGACCCTTCAGCAGGGACGCGCGACTGGTTCGAATTCGAACTCGCATGTTTTTGCCGCCTCAAAAAAAAGTGTTGCAATCCACGCGACCCTCCCTGCTGCGATCCACCTTGTTGGAGATAGTTTGTCGCGCGCCGCCTCCTACCTCCTTCGATTGCTTCGCAAAGGTGAGTGTCACTCCCCATGTTCCATGCCCCTACGCCTGTCATTCTCCTGTCCTGTGTGCTTGACATCGTGCCTCT